GTGTGTGTGTGTGTGTGTGTGTGTGTGTGTGTGTGTGTGTGTGTGTGTGTGTGTGTGTGTTCTAAAGCTTCGCCTCGTTCTTTCTGCTCAGGCTTGACAGTTTAACTAAATCATGTCCTGCAAACATTTTGCAATTAACATCACACTCTTTGATTTGTCCCAAACTGCTCACTCATGAAGCTAAATCAATTTGTTTAATTATAACTTTGGCAAAAACACCTCTAATCTTTTCAAAACTTTGATCTCTGTTTTTCCCTCTCACCACTGTGGCAGGTTTGAAAAGCCGCTTTGTTTGTGTTTCTATAACTTACCCTCTGTTCTCCTCTCACTGTTTTTCCACTCAGACATTGACGACTGTCAGTCCAATCCATGCCAGAATGGAGGAACCTGCATCGATGAGATCAACTCTTTTGTGTGTCTTTGTCTGCCCAGCTATGGAGGAGCAACTTGTGAAAAAGGTAACAACATTAAAAGCAAAACACTGATTTCTATATTTRCACACAATCCTTGGACCAGAGGAAAAACTGGTATCAAAAAAGGAAAAAAATAATTGGCATAGGTGGTTAGATAGACCCCAAGTACTGAAAAAAAAAACATGATGGTAATTTCAATTTGATAGCTAAAGGCTATTATACACTATTTTTATTTTTCAAGATGCATCAAATMCAGAATAWTATGGATTCAMAATAATCTACAAAGACATGCAATAAAATGTGTTGAATGGATTTAAACATTCACTATGTGAATAAAAAATGTTGAGGTGCAGAACATAAATTTATTAGCTTACTTCCAGTGCATTACCATAAAATGATAAAAATAGACTAAATCTGGGTATCATTGTAAACTTAAAGACAAGCATTTACACACATATTGTACATCAATTCAATAAATGGAGTTTCTAAACTTGGCAGAAAAAGTAAGGAATTWGTGGTTGTTTGATTATTTTTGGTGTAACAATGCTTCTTGGCAATAAATTTATATTCTTGGAAAGCCTGTTTATTTCTCTTTTAAATGGTGTCAGCATTGTAAGGAACATGCATTTGTGGAATGAGCAGTAGAACTGAGTATTTGSCTAGTGCACATGAAAAAATTGCCAACTATTCTCTACCATTCATACCGTTGTGTTTTTTTGCTGTTGCAATTGACACTTTAGTCAATCAGGTGCCTGACTGGCAGCAACTGGGGTTACCAGAAACTCAAAACTGTGAGCATTGGCCCTGCTACAACGGTCAGTAGGAGTCTGCTTTAAGAACCAGCATGCCATGTTTGACTGATCTGGATAGGGCCCTTGCAATAGGACAACTTCAAGTTGGTGTTCAGCAAAACTAAGTTGCAGTATTATTTGGAGTGAGCTCTAGTATCATCGTATCAGACAGACGGCCAAGTTCCATTTGATGGGGGATATTATAGGGGGCATCCCAAGAAAATGACACCCCAAGAATATAATTTCCTCACCCTGTTAGAACTTAGGTACTGTAGGCCTTCTTCTACAGATTTACAAAGTTTAGAGAACGATATGTCCGACAACACTCTGCCCAGACAATTCCGAACAGACTGCACACAGACGATCTCCAGTCTCATCGGGCAACCAGGAGGCTTGCCATAAGGGCCCTTTACCATCAGACCCATTTGTGCTGATGTTGGCAACACGTACTGGAGCCTGAACACGTGGACGAACTGTTTAGTGATGAGTCCAGATTTTGACTACAGCAGTTGGATTGTGGGGTGAAAGTGTGGAGAAGATACAAAGAATGCAACAGCACTAACAACTGTGCCACCATGCCACCTCAAATTTACWGTTAGCCAAATAAAAACAAAAGGATTACAGCTGGAGGAATAAAACTAGTGCAGTTAAAAAAAATAAACCAACATTATTAAGAGCTGAGTGCAGGGCACCTCCAGACATTTTTCTAAGTAAAAGACAGATAATCTTCTCTCAGCTACACAAACTGTTAGCTTTACATACAGTATGTATGAATACACATTTTTGTTTTCGCTATTGTTGATTAACTGTGGTGGCCATTTTAAATCTATTAAACTATGAGTAAGAATTTATATAAGAGTTTCATTTAAAACTGTGCAGTGGATCAGAATGTATTTTGCTAATGGAGAAATTATGTTTAAAAGATTGAGCAGGGGGACCTGCATATTTGTTCCCCCTGGCCTCCATTTGGTAACGCCCCTGGATAAATGAAAGATTGTAGAGAAGAAGCTTTGACATTCGGACTCATCTTAGTTCAATATAATCAAGATGTTCTGCTGGTTCATTTTGACCTTTGACCTCATCTTTTAGAATAATTCTACTTTGGAAAATGTSTTCTTATAACTACAGTGGATTTTACTCTTCCAGTCTGATCTGGGACTCTGAGGGCAGAACGATCAATACCAAACTGACAGAGACTGAAGCAAGCAAAGAAAGAAAACGTCCAATACTGTTCGAGTGAAACTGTCAGGTTTAAAGAAAGAATAATGACATGTTATGACCAAAAGACGAAGCTCAACATTTGAAAGACAAATCATATTTCTGCTCAAGAAATCACAGAAAATATTTTCAATTTCTAACGTTTTTCACACAATATCTGTTTAAAACATTAATTAGATGTGTGTGGGACATTGAAAGGGTTTACAGATATCCAATACTTGGTTTGTTTTTTTGCATGCTGAAGAGTATTATGATAGCTTTTAGCTTCRCCACTCATTGATGATGAGTGCATTGTTTTAGCACCTGCTCCACRGGCGATGTTGGTGAATTTCCCTCTAAATAAACAAATGACTCTAGCCTGGAGGGGAGGCATGTAAAGCCTGGTGGCTTGCCAATCTAATAAAACACTAGGGGAAACCCTGCAAATATAACTATTCCAAAAGAACCACAAAGTACAGATTGATCAGAAAAGAATCTTAGAAACTAAGAGCTGTTATGAGTGC